TACTGGGTGATGGAATATTTACTACAGATTGAATAAGTAAAATAAAATCTTAAAATAAATCCTTTTTGACAGGCGAGATTAATACTACTTATATCCAATGTTTAACTTGTTTAGTGCGTTGGTTTATTTAGTATAAAAAAAAGAGATAATCAAATGAAGAGAAGTTGACTTGAATTGTACAGCTTGTTACGTAGAAAAATATGTATGGGATAAATGTTTGTTGAGGAAATCCGTTTCAATGTTGACAAAAGTATTTTGAATGTATTTTGAGTAAAGGTATTATCAAGAGTTTAGAGGCCAGAAACATGTTTTTACAATTTTACCGTTTTTGACTGATTCGTAAACGTGCTTGTTATCACGCTTCATCACAAAATCAGAAGAAAATAACATATGAAGGCCTTGAAGAGAGGTATAATATTACTAGAAAATTTGTGTCTAGTCTTAGGAAGGAACATATAGGGGAGAGTTGGTTATATCGTACTAGCATTTAAATCGTACCACTTCTAAATTTCCCATTTAATGAATATTTTTTTTCTACACTGACTATACCAAATCGTGGCCCTGCACTATCCTTCTTCACCCACTAGTTTAAAATCGACGTGAGTTAACAACTGTGCACGTAATAAAAGAAAAACATTTTTTTGTAGGAATTAATATAAATATTGTCGTACATTCGTAAGGAGATAACTCGTTGTCAAGGTAAGCTATAGTTATTCAGTTTTTTTTTTTATTATGCCACAATTGTATACTAGATTATTGGGTGTTTTTGTTGCGTGTCTAAGTTTTGAGTTTATGCCGCATATTTGCTTTTGTTTTAGAAATGCCTTAGTTGGTTTAATCGTACCACTTGCAGTTGGTTAAATTGTACTGGTACGATATATCCGACTCTCCCCTACAATTATTGTATAATTTCTGTAATCATATCATTTATTCTTGCAATAATAATTCTATACCGTTTTCAATTTTTTTCGATTATATATCTAGTGAACAGGTGTAAAAGATCAAAACTACTAAATATAATAAGAACAGTATGGACACAGATTTATCATTACTCCAAACTTAAGATCTTTTCACCAGTAAATAAAAAAATATTATTATTATTTTCACGTGATAACGTCTTTAAAATCGTTTTAGTCGTGTGACATGTTCAGAAACTTGTGTCACACCAAAACCTCACGAGCGCGATCGCAGGTATAACGAGAGAGAAACGGACCGATCTCCCGTCTCATCTCGAGCGCTGCCAGTCATTCCGTGAAACTTGTCACGCGGAATCCTCACGAGCGGAGGCAGGCATAGCGTTCGAGTGAGTGGACCGATCTTCCGTCTCTCTCACTCTGGCGGCATACCAACGAATGGAGATTTTCTCGTGCGGTTAAGTTTTCGTTGAATGTTTAACAGAATGTTTAACTTGTCATATTACACCCGAAAATTTATCCCACAGATAGATTCCACAGATTTGTCAGACGCATAATATTGTTATTTTCAAACGCGAACGGATTACACTGATGTATATGCCTATACAATTGTGTACGTGGGGCGCGAGGGAGGTAAAATCACGAGCTCGCGCCTTGTATTGGTTACATACAACAGAGTAAGACTTATATTTTTTAACGTATACAGTTGTAACTATCATATACCACAAGTAATGCTCCCTGGGCGCCGCGGTATAATGTTGTAAGTATCAGATGCAACAACTTTTATAGCTTCTACTACGGAGTAAAATGTCATAAGAACAATATCTCCGCAAATAGGCATTTTACTTAAAATATCTTTTAACGTAGCCGCTCCGAGCGCGAGGTTACTGATAAACACTTAGAAAGATTTAAACTGATCTCAAATAGCGCTTCCTACAAAGAAAATACTATTTCAGATTGTATTATTATAATTCAATAAATTGTTCATGCACCAGCTCCTGAGCTATGATTAGATAAATGAAATAATATTATATATTAATAATATAACCGAGAGATAACTCAACCTCTCTCATAAAAAGGGTTAAACCTGTTCATTTTTAAAGTACATATATACTAGTGGTTTGAGTATAGCCTTGGAAAATCAAATACATTGACCAAAAAATACGGAGCAGGTGAACATAAAATAAAATATTGTTATATTAAAAGTATTTTATAGAACATCTTAAAAGATATGATTGTATGTTTTCAATATAAGACGTTTTTTTAACTAAAACATTGCATATCTTTAATAATAATTATTATTATAATCAAACGTTGGATTATAATAATCAAAACGTCGAGTATGGAAATAACATTGCTGAAGCGGTGTTTCATGAGCCTTGTATTACTGTACTAATGATCACGTCATTTTACTCATCATTATGAAAAGCGTACCTTCTTTCATAATAAACTTTCTTCAAAATGTTGTGTTATAAGGTACGTACGTTGTTATAAAGTGGAATAATAATTGTAAATATTTTTTATATTTTCATGAAGTAAGATATCTTTCAGGCGATTGAAAAGTGTTTCACTCAGATTTCTAAAGTGAACCCTTATAGAGAAATCCCCAGCTAGTCTTTGTTACATGTCTGTATCGTGAACGGAGCAAGTCTCGCTGTATCAATTTTGGAATAGAATTGTTAATAATATCGAACTATTTAATAAAAAAACAATTTCAAATTTTTCTTATGAGTATTTTCATACAAAACACAGATTTTTTAACTACGTCAGTTTATAAGAAATGAACAATAAATCAATAACATTCTTGTGAAACTGAACACAATATACATATGTTGGTAGGGTTAGACGTTGTTCTCGTATTGTTTGTTCAATCGAAAAGCTGAAGTGCTAAGTATGAAGTTTAGAAATTATTTGTAAAAGTTTGGAATGAAATTAATATTATATAATTTTAATGTGTTATAACTGTGCGAGTATAATAATACATATATCGACTTTACATTGTGTGAGTAACTTTTATAACATGTATAAATACATGTGAGACTGAAACTTTTACAAACATGTTTCTTAGATTGTACATTAAATATGACAAAGTCAAATTCAAACTACATATAAAAACATTCTTGGTCCAAATTCTCGAAGGCAAATTAAATAAAATACCTAGTGGCATATATTTCAAGACTAAATACATTATTAATAACAATATCTATAAAAACATCAGATCGGATGTTATCCGAAGTAAGGTACCATCATGACGGAATTTACTCAAAAAATTTTCTTTGGATATCATTAATATGATTTCAAAAAATATTAATTATTACGGAATTCATTATTTTACACAAAACCTTATTAATAACCAGACACTAGAACACCTCCGAGATATAACTATTCTCATAATATATTGTTACAATAACCATCTTTAAATAAACAAGGAGTTGTTATCTTTGGTCCGAAATGGGTTATACAAGAGAAACACGAATTTTGCTCAAACTAATCTATAAAAAAACATGTTTCTTTTGTTTTTTTTTCTGATGTATTTTGTAATTCTGATTCTATGTATGGTAAGCTAGCTTCTGAGGGACTGGGGCTAGTGATTTAGGGGATTAATGTTATCGTTTATATTTAAAAAAATGAATTTGATATAAATATAAATTAATAAGTACAATTTAATGTGTTTTTTTTTATAAAATAACACAAACAAGTGTATTAAAAATTATGAGTTTTTGATAATATGCACCTGCGATAATTTTATGACAAAACTATACAGTTTATTTTACTATAATAGTATATTAGACTTTACTATACTGGTTGTTAGAAAGTATTCAGGTACACATCTTTAAATTGTATGGAATAAAGGTTTGCATCAAACCTGTATTTAATATAACACTAATATTATTTTATATTTGAATGATTTATCTCGTGTTTGTATAATTTATTAATTCTTTATTACTTTTAACATCTTATAAACGTCAACTCATCTTCATTCTTGTTCTTATATTTTATGACATTTGTATTACAAATAACTTGAATAACTTTTATTTTCTCTTGTTTACGGTCTGAAGACTGGCGATGACATTTGACAGACCAAATGATCTTAAACATGTCAAAGAAAGTCTTCTCAATACGAAAATTGTTATCCTTTAACTCACCTCCTACAATCTCAATGCAGTCAAGAACAGAGAAACTAGGAAATAATGACTTTAAATCAAAACTTACCATTATGTTATTGTTTCTAAATTTTACATGTTTTATATCATTGACAAAGTGATAGGAATCCCTAACAAATAATTGTTAGTGACCACGGAGTGCCGAGTGATGATAATATATTTGAAAGAAATTTAGCCAGATTAAGAGTTAGTAAATCAAATAGGGCAATAGTTAATTCTTTTTTTATGGACTTTGGGTAACTAATACAATTTTAATGGTTTTATACACGACAGTATGAATGATTTAATATCTAAATATATATTTTTAACATCTTTATTTATTAAGATATTGGTTTCTATAAGTACTTTACTAGTCGGCTCTTTATTAACTTTTTTATAAAAGGAATTATCTGCAAGAAATTCAGTTATTTTTTATCATACTCAATATTAACAATTATTACGGTCGCTTTCCCTTTATTTATTTTGAGTAGTGTTCATAATATTTTCATATAATTCTTGTTTTATTATTATTATATATCCATTACAATAAATATTGTCACAGGTTACATCTAATGTAACTTAAATAATTAATCAGATTTTCGAGTATTAGTTCTTAACCTTCGGCATACAAGGTGGGGTTATTTTAACCCCAACACTTTTAAATTGTGTTGATTTTATATTAAAACGAAACTAAACAACTTGATTTTCACAGTAGCTGGAGATTAAATATTGCCGCGTTAAATCACAGCGTCGGATCAGTGTTGCGCGCGCCAGCGCCGTGTGTACACGCGCCCAAAGTGGTTCCCGGGTGTTTTTAACCCCACGTTGTATGGGTCGTCGTGAAAAAAGTTTGTACCTACTTATGTGTTTTTTATGTTTTTACAGCTACAATAAGTGTTTTATTTATACTTTTTTATTTTTATTTCAGGTATAGATCGTCAATATGAATAATAACCTGCGGGATGATAGTATTGCTGCGGCCTTATTGGAAGAAAATGAATCTTTGTCGGATGATGAAATCTTTCTGCCTTCTAGTGATGACGAATCGGATCATATCAGCGAAGCTTCTGAAGTTCCAAGTGATACGGACGTGGAAGATGCCGAAATAAACATTGAACCACATTCAGATGATACGACATCAACACTTCAACCATTTTATCTAGGAAAAGATGGAAGAACAAAGTGGTATAAATCGCCACCGCGAACCGATGTTCGAACAAGGGCCGAAAATCTTATTACTCATTTGCCTGGATGTAAATATGCAGCTCGACATAAAAAAACTCACCAAGAATGCTTCGAGACCTTTTTCACTGATGAAATCGTTGACATTGTTTTGAAGAATACGAACCAGAAGATTTCTTTGAGAATGGAGAACTCTACGTCTAATTCAACATACGGGGAAAACTGACAAAGCTGAGATAAAAGCCGTTTTTGGGCTGTTGTTCTTGGCAGGGTTGTTTAGATCTGGTCGGCAAAGTCTTATAGACTTATGGAGTAATGACGGCACAGGAATTGAAGTATTTAGAAATACTATGACGAGGCAAAGATTTTCGTTTTTGATAAATAGCTTGAGATTTGATGATTCATCAACTCGTACAGCTAGAGTGGCTGACGATCGCTTGGCTCCAATTCGAGATATTTTTGAAATATTCGTCAAAAACTGTCAGAATGCCTATACACCGTATGAATACTTGACCATAGATGAAGAACTCGTGGCATTTAGAGGAAGATGTAGCTTTCGTCAGTACATACCATCCAAGCCAGCTAAGTATGGGTTGAAAATTTACGCGTTAGTGGATGCTAAAACATTTTACACAATGAACTTGCAAATTTATTGTGGAAAACAGCCTGACAACAGTCCTTATACAGTGAGTAATAAGCCTTTTGATGTTGTCGATCGTTTGGTGAGATGCGTGTCTGGATCAGGAAGAAACATCACCATGGATAACTTTTTTATGAGTTATGAAACAGCTGAAAATTTGCTCAAAAACCACAAATTGACTGCCGTTGGTACACTAAGGTCGAACAAGACATGCATTCCACTCCAGTTCAAGGCTCGACGTGAAGAAAAATCATCTGTTTTTGGATTTCAAAAAAGACATTACTATTGTATCCTACATACCAAAGCCGCGAAAATGTGTACATATGATGTCCTCATTACATCATGATGATGAGGTGGATCCAGAAAGCGGAGACCAAAGAAACCCGTCTATCATCACATTTTACAACTCGACAAAAAAGTGGAGTTGATGTAGTTGATAAACTTGCGAGAACATACGATGTCTCCCGCAACTGTAAGCGCTGGCCTCTTACCGTATTTTTTTCCATGTTGAACCATGCTGGTATAAATGGTTTTATTGTGTATATGCTGAATAATGGCATTGAAAGGAACAAAACCAATCTAAGGAAGAACTTTATCAAGCGATTGGGACTTTCTTTAATCGAAGAGCACCTCAGGAAAAGAAAGGATAATCCACATATACCACGAGAAATAAGAAGACGTGTGTGTGAAATGCTGAATGAAGAAGCTCCAGCACCACCACAAAAGCAACCAAGAAGGTCTCAGCGATGTTCTTTCTGTCCAAGAAACAAAGATAGGAAGACTCTGAACGGATGTTTCAAATGTAATGTCGCGATATGCAAGGAACATGCGAATTTGATGTGTCAAAATTGTACTGATTTACATGACGAATGATCTCGCTCAAATAGCCATAAAGAGCTAATTGTGATGTTTTTTATAAAGCCAAATATAGTTAGTTTTAGTATAATAAGTAAAATAATTAAGATAAGTATGAGAAATATTTTTGTTAATTTTTTATTCCACCTAATAACATCTTGTAAGATTTATGGAGAGGTTATGTAATTTTTAAGTTTTTTTTATAATAAATGTTTAATTTGCTACTTTTTGTACTTCATTAATTAGATTTAATTATACCCGTCACAAAAAAACCCATTCAAACTTATTACATAAGATTTACACACAGATTAGAGATAATCTCTTGTGGGGTTAATTTTACCCCACGTTGTATAGGTGAGGATTTTTTTTTTCACCTTGTATGCCGAAGGTTAAGAAGAACAAAAATGTGTTTTTCTACAGAACACTCTTAACGCATTAAACGTTCACCTCCACTACCTTAAATGTTTGACTATAAATGTATGACCTATATAAGGTTTAATTTAAATGTGAACTGCACTACAACATTTTAGCAATCTATTGCCATGACATTTTCCTCACCTATAAGTATTTTGATTTAAATTCATTTGCTCCCATCCCAGCAGCGGCTGTGAAATTCGAAGGTTCTCGAACTGCAATTAGATTTAATTATTAATTTTAATAATTTACTATATGGTACATAATATTCTATTCACATAAGATACAATCGTAATAGTAGAGACAGTAGAATTTCACATATTATCTTACACATATTAGAAAAACTGTAGGCTATGAAGCAGTGAAAATAATATTGTTATATAACACAATAGATGGCTCCATAAACAAAACTGTATACAAGAATTGTAGGAGACTATGACCTAATTTGTCTATACACATAGAAGATATTTTTGGTTGAAATCAGAAAAGGTAACTTGACAGATCCATACAGATCAATCTTCTAGCAAACAAATAATTTCTAATGGGGACATTTGAAGCAAGTTTATAGACTCACATTAAAACACATGGAATTACAAGCTTACATAAAATAGAACTATCAATTATTCCAATTATTATGAAATAAAAACATCTACAATTTTAATTTTAAGTACAAAAAAAATCTATATAATTTTTAACAGTTAATCCCTGAAATTATTTTCCATGTAAATGTTTTATTAATTTTGAAAAGGAGAAACTTTTTAGGGATTAATGTTGTAATATTATCATAATGAATGTCAACACATCAAAAGTTATTTCAGCAGTGATGGTTTGTAATTCAAATGGTTCATGTTTGCTACATTTAATTGGTCGTGTGTTGTGTTAACTTCACGGGTCGTGTGTTATGTGTCACCTTCTTCATCGTCACTGATGGTGATGCAGTCCTCTTCGTTGTCCTTCTTCGTTTCAGGTTTTTCTGTGTCTTTGGCCACTGATTTTTCTTTGTCTACCTTTGAATCCCTTTGCCGCAATCGTTTGCTGTAAATATTCAATGAAATTAATAAAGAGACAAAAAGATTTTCAATCTTACTAATATTATAATTGCAAGAGTTTGTAAGTGTGTGTGTAAGTTTGTTACTTCTTCACGCTCAAATGGCAAACCGATTTTGATAATATTTTGTATACAGGAAGCTGACGTCCAGGAATAACACATATAGGCTACTTTACATCCCGGAAATCCGCGGGTAACACCGCGGGGGCGCAGCTAGTGTATATATTTTAGTGTTGGTACAAACTTGAACTCAGTCAGTCCCAGGCGACTATTCTAGAAAGCAGCATAAGGATTTCATCATATATAATATCAACAGCACATGAGGAATTATAAAATGAATGTGTCGATAACGGTTTACTCAATATAAGAGATACATTATGGAGAAATGTACAATATAACTTAAAACAAAGTAACCAACAGACCTTACCGACACACTACTATCGGACATCAGCTACATACACTTCTCTTCAAAGAAGGGTTCCTCTCTCAGACCACGCCCTAAAAGACACACCACCAACAGCTTCGACCCTCATCCTGAATTATATATTCTTACGAGTCCTGGAACGTAACGAATGATTCTAGTTTTTATAATGACAATAGATTTCTTACTTAAATATTCGACTTACAAGAAGTCGCATTTTAAAGAGTGAAAAACATAATAATAAAGAAGACCATTGAAACGATATAACGTTGAAAAACCCTGCGGTCAATGTTACGCTTAGAGAATACTTCAAAATATACTATTAAAATAAACTAGTACTCTTATTGCTACAGATAATAAATACTAATATTAACCAAAACTAAAAATGTAACTTAATAAAAACATTTGAATTTGAGCGATATGTCAATAATATAAAAAGTAACATTTATTAGTACCTAAGTGCAAAAAAAACACTCACCATGAAGATAACCGACGTAAAAACACATCCATCATAAGGAAGGCCGCGGCCGACTGCCACCAGAGGCACCAGAGGGAGCCGGATTGGAAGGACTGGAGAGACATGAGAAATGAATTTTGAAAGCAATTAATAGTAAAATCATAAAATGTAAATTAATAAAATTTAAAAACTAACAATAAACGAGCCGTCAGGTTGGCCACACTAAGAATCATGGGGAATGGGGATGAAACCAGTGTTGCCAACTTTATTTTTTAGATAATCGTACTATAGACTAAAAAATATAGTATTTTGTCTTGAAATTCAAGAAAAAAAGAGTACGCGATGAAATTTCAATAAAACTTCGTAAGTATATCAAATAAAAATGAAATTTAATTTTAATTTTCAACTAACATTTATTATCAATTAATATGTGGAATAAGATATTCATTAATTACATATATGTTGAAAACAGAAAAAAAAATTAATTGCTTTAGTCACTATCTGAATTACTAAGCACAGCAGATGCGGGAAAAGCATTATATTTTTTGTTCATACATACATACTTAAATTTAATTTGCTCAGCATATCGTCACATGGCTTGAAGTTTATACACGATCCTTTTTCTTTAATATTTTTTTTTTGATGACGTAGTGGAAACTCTTTTTACGGGCCATCCAACCGGCCTTGGTGGAGCCGGGATAGATGTGTGAGGCTCGGCCTGGGCAGGACCCTACACACTAAAACCACTGCGAAATTCTTATTTACCGTTTCTGGAATATAGTTTAGTTTTACATATTCCTTATAGTTATAGTATAGTACTAAATATAGTTAGTTATAGTTATAGTACAAAGTTTAGTTTTACATATTCCTTATAGTTATAGTATAGTACTAAATATAGTTAGTTATAGTTATAGTACAAAGTTTAGTTTTACATATTCCTTATAGTTTTATTGGAGATATATTTTTTCGTAGGACTTCATTTAAAAAATCGTATATTGTGCGTACGATTTCGATAACTCGATCGTACATCGTATAAGAGTCAAAAGGTCGTATAAATACGATTTAAATCGTTTCGGTTGGCAACACTGGATGAAACTGTCGTATAATTAACGTGTTTATGAAAATAATGTAAAGAAAATGATGCCATCTAACGAACAAAGCACAACGACTGTGACACTATTTTCCTTCATAACTTCATAGATGTCGTATGTAGCTCTCAAATCGATTTGACATTAGGACATATTTTAAATTATTTCAGTTGTTCATTTGCCGTCGTTTACTTTTCCTCTTGTGCTGTACGTTCTTTTTCAAACATTTGACCCGGCTTAATATATCATTGACTCCTATTTCTACGCTTTTGACGATCGACCCCGGCTTTTCTCAATTGGACTTTTCTTTTCTGCGACTACGATCGACCCCGACTCTTCTCATTTGGATTTTGATTGCAATCTATGAATTTGGATTATCGATAAGTTGAAAACATGCCATGAAAATCGGCTAATAAGTATCATTTTTGGTGTGCGACTAAAGGTACGATACTTATTAAGTAAAATCTATAAAATTATTATTTGTCATATCAATTACTACTCCTGTTACATCAATTTCAATCGTAACAGTTTATTGACTTCTAATAAAAAAACTTTTCAGGTCCTTTTCATCAATTTCCTAAACCTGAATACCAAAATTTGGAGAAATTCATTCAATGGAAAAATATTTTAAATGAAGACATGAAAAAAAAAGGAAGATTCTTATCGTGATCGTCATTTTGAACAGTTTTACCATTCTTTAAGTAAATGACTCACTCGAAATGCTGTACCAACTCTATTCTTAAGTAAGTATCTAAAGTAAGCAACTTCCCAAGTAGTTATAGGCACACAATACATACTACTAATATAAAATAACTATAAATAATAATCAATTATATTTTATAACTATGGATAATATTTTACATTATTATTATTTTACTTTAGAAATTGGTACTCATAATTAAAAATTAAAAACAAAAAATTAGATTTAATTGAATATAATGAAATAGGTATACAAGTCATCTTAACATTTTTATATACTTTCATGTGGTTTGATAGATTTATAATGTGCTGTCTTTATTACCTTTTTTATCTAAATAAAGGAAAGTGCCTACAAACAGTATCACAAAATAACTACTTGTGTCACTTGTTTACATAGGTAAAACAAAAACAAAGTGTTCTAAATATGCAGAGTTTATAATTTCACTGGATAACTACAAACCAATAAAAGTTGTTTATAGTTTTTTATGTAAAATTACAAGTCTATTTACATTCAATCAGAAACTCTAAAAGAAACAAGGAAGGAAAATACAATCAAGACAATATGTTATCATTCAATTTTAAGATTTTTCATTTAATTTTTCTTTTAATTGTATTAAAAATATATTTTATTTAGCAGCATCAGCATTTGAGACTGTACACTCATCACATTCTGTTGAAACTGAAAAATGTATTGATAACTTGATACACAAAAAGAAGACAATGATGCATCTTGTAATCACAACTTGGGTTTAAATATGAATCAAGTTCAGCTACAAAGGAGTTCTCCTAATTTCTCTCAATTATTTCCTAAAGGTAAGTTACAGGCATATAACTAAGCTTAATATTAACTAACTATGATTGCTATATTAACTTTTAAATTATAATACAGCA